ATACCAAAGATGAAAAACAAACATGAGAAGTTACAGGAGTTGAGCATGATGTTCGGTCAAGATGAGAGTCATGTGGTGAGTAGGAATTTGAGCGGAGGAGATAATAATACGGATGCGGGGAGTGTGAGGAGTGGGGTGCCGACTAGTGTTAAGGATAGGGGGCAGAGGAGGAGGATTATTGGGGGGATGAGTTGGGGGAGGGTACCGGGGGCTTAGGTTTGAGTGGGCTTAATCTTAATGGGAATCCGGCGACGAGTAGTTTGCCTGGGGTTTACAAACACGTAAGTTTCTCCCAATTCCTCAAGTGTGGAAGAACATACGAAGTTACAAGCAGCGGCATTCATGGCCAGTCTCTTTCGGACTTTGGGGCAACTGTTTTGCTCCCTCTGCTTTCCCTTTTAATTCTCCAATTCTTGACTGACACTTGGTCAGTACCTACTCGTTCGCCCACATCCCTCCTTACAAATAATATTCGTCTCTCCGTCCCTCCGAATCCCCGGCCTCCTCCGCACCCACCTCTTCACCAAGCTCGGCGGCCCTTCCGCCACAATCTCCGCCCTCGAATCCGCCTTCCAAGCCGGCGCCTCCATAACCGGCAAAGTGTTATGGCTCCCGAAAAATACCTACGCCGGAGAACGCGGTCGTGGACCCGCTGAAGTTAAACCCCGGTTTATCCGTTGCACTCCTCTTTTAGGGGGTGATGATAGAGTAGGGGTTGAGAGGTTGTGCTAATTCCCGTGGGTGGAGAGCAGGAGAGACATCAGTATAATGGGGGACTAGGGAGTATTTCCCTAACAGGCAGCTTGGGGAGGAGAGATCATGTGGCTGATATGTTGGTCTATGATGTTATCTTAGATGATAAGAGGAGATATGGGGCTTATGGACGGGTTTCTAGAGCAGGGAGTAGGACGCCGAGTGTGAGGAAGGCGGGGAGTGTGGATGGTGATCATATGGATGGTGAGGTTGGACTTACGTAGGAGGACGAGGATTGGGGAGAGGTGAATGGGTTTGCGATGGGGAATGGAGGGGAGATGGGCGTTAAAGGGGAGGATACAGGGAGGAGGGAGTTGTATGCTGAGTACTTGAGGGACTCGAGTAGTACGAGTGGGAGTAGGGATGGGATGAATGGGATGAATGGACATCCGGTGAATGGGACGCCGGGGAGAGGGAGGAAGGATAGGGGGTGACTTGAGTAACATGTATTATACCCTTCATGAATGAAATGCCAGTTTCAAAGACCTTAGAGAAAATGAGATTGGTGAATGTCCCAGCAGGTCTAGGACATTGTCATCTGGTCGCGTTACAGCTCTGATCTGGAGCAAATGTCGGGAAACAGACAATGCCGTCCGGCAAGCTAAAAGGTGATTGTACAGATCGGAGACGTGACACTTAGCAGATTTCAATGTCCCAGAATGGCTGGGATATTCATCCCTTCGGTTTCCCCCATCCTAACACCCTTCCTCTCCTTCATTGCCTTCAACAAATCCTAACCGAGTCGCGGCTCCCCCGACTTCCCGCCGATCACCGAAACACCCGTATCGTTTTAAATAAGCACAAATCCGTCATCAAACAACCTTAACGTTTTCATGGCGTAATGGCCATAGGCCGGGTGGTGCAATGGTTAGCACGTCCTGTCAATGCTCTCCGCAACCCTTGACCGGGTTTTTGATCTGCCATTTTGGGTGGAGAGCGATGGGAAGATCGAGGTTCGAGTCCTTGCCTGGCCACTTTGAATACTTTTTGGTTTTTTTTTGTTATTTTGGGAAGAGAAAAGGGAAAGAGGGGTTTGGGTGTGAAAAGGTGTGAAAAGGAGGCGTGTGGGAGTGAAGGCAGTGCCCCCAAAGCACTAGCCGAGCAATGGGGAAGAACTCCTTTTGCAAAAAGCTTTCAATATACTTCCCATTCGGCTTTATTTGATAACCCATAAGTCACAAAGAGATACCGTTCTATCAAAAAGCCCAAAAAGGATTTATCTAAAAAAAAACACCCCCCAAGCAAAAAGGATTTGAAATCCCTCAGCCGCGAATCGAACGCGCGACATTCTGGTGAGACTGATACAATTGCAGCTGGACACCACAACCCAACTAGACGACCGTAGGTAGTCACGATTTGTGCTTAAGTTGAAAGAAATCTGCTTATTTAAATCTCTATAGACGTTGGGAGGGAGGCGGGCGGAAGCGAGGATGGGCGAAAAGGGAAAAAGGGGTGTGGGAGAGTGCTAGACGATTAGGTTCAGGTTTGTTGCGAGCAGTCTTTGTGGCAAGGAAGTTTAAATTGACTATGTACGTTGTTTTCTGGGACATTACAAAATGGAAGTCAGATTAATTGGGCATGGCAACCAGCATGTACTGTGCAATGTGGCTGTCAGAACGCTCGTCAAAGAATCCTGCGCAGCTTTGTCCAATAAATCTACTTACAATAAAGCCAGTTTCTGGGCCTGTGATTGATTAAGCATCTGCGTTCATCACTCAAGCGCTGTGTGATTGAGGCAGGCTCAAAGTCCCGACACTTGCAGTACAATGCCAATAGAAGAATCTCTTGGAGAGCTGAATCTTGGCAGCGGAAGTGATGTGCAAGAAGACAAGGGTAGCACAATGCTCCCGTGGAAATGCCTTATGAAAGCAATTTGCTGACTCGAGATCTACAGTGTTTGCGAGGTTCGACGACATCATCAAGTTGTTAATCCTAGAAAAAATCCTAGCCGGCCCGGCTCTTATCGATCCAGATGGGAAGTTTATCATGGTCTCCAATATCCGGGGCGGTGACTGTCGTTTTGCGGGTGTTGGAGCAGCGAACCGGCTGCTGAATGGGGATGCCAAGTCAAAACAACAGGAATTCAAAACTCATATCTCAAATTTCCTCAAGGTGGACCACTTCTTCCAAACCGAGGGTATTCGCATTATACTCAGAAATCAAGCCGTTGCGTTCAATTTTGGACCTGGTCTCGAGAGCGCTTTCAGAATTCATGGGCATGCTGAGATAACTGGCTTGCTTGCTGGTCAGAAGAAACGAGTTGAATTCCTCTGGCACACGGGAACACATCGATCCATATCACCACATACCACGGCGGTGCGTTATGTCCCTACCTAGAATCCATCAATGCTGACTCCTACAGGACACAATCCTTAAAGGCCTCATAGGCGAGAGCATGGAAAGACCGATCCAAGTCCTATGGCCGGAAAGTATCAAGACAAGCAAGCTGGCGTACTGTAACCTGCAGTTTGTTGAAGTTCGATATCTCGGTGCCATCTGGGGGAAGGAAGATGACAACAGCGTCGATGACAGTGCCTGGCATCCCTATTGCAAGACGGATCTGAGCAAGATACCATCGTATATCGAGATGCATATGTCGGCATTCCCGCGACTCAAAAGGCTAGCCATCGACTTCGTCGCCTGGCCCGAAGATGATGTCCTTCCTCAAGTCCAACCTCTTAAGGCCCAAGGAGACCAAGTGTATGGTCGGATCCCTGAGATTGTACTACGAGGATTACCAAAAGCTCAGAGCGGGGTCATAGTTGCTCAACTCACGCCTCTCGTGCGGGACAGAGGGAGGATAGAAGTGACCGGAAGCCACTACGATATGTCCGTTGCAGGCCCAGGGTCTCTGATTGAGGTTCAACCAGATAGAATAGAATGGACGACGGTCAGGAGTGAGAGACTGTAAGCTAACGCATGAAGCAAGGAACTACTCAGATTTTCTCTTCTTGTGACCGACAATTCAAAAGACAAATGCGCGGAAAAAGTCGCGGAAAGAGGATGACCATGCTTTGCAATGAAATCTCTGATGCAGCGAAAAGGCAGAAAAACATAAATTAAACCTGTCTACGATAATTTGGTACTTGAAGGTCACCGGTGAGGATAATTTTCTTGACGCAGGTACGCGCATGGGTTTTCAGCCACGATTCGCGATGTTTTTGATCATGAGGAAGAAAGGAAGGTCGATGACGCTCGGCAGGCATTGGCTCATGAGCTTCCGAGCGCCGCATGCGGAGTCAAGCGATGTCGTGCTCCAACCTCCTCGACACAACATACACAACATGAACAACATCTACTTAATATCTACCATTGTACATATCTTTTCATACATGTAACATTAGACAGGCGCCGTCCTACAAACGGCACATCCTCTCAGCCACAAGCATGACTTCGAATCGCACACCCCTCCTCGCACCCGACCACGAATCATTCATTAGCTCCTCCTCCTCCTCCTCCCTTGCACGAAAGAACCTCGCGAGACGACGAGACATTACGAGATATGTTGCTTTCTCGTCTGCCATATTATCATGCCTCTGCGCGGGCTCAATCACTGCCTACTCGCTCTACGGTCATCTGTTCCAGGAACGCCTCCGGTACACACAACTCCAAGTGAACATCGTCGTTATTGGGGCAGAGCTAGCATTATACCTCCCAGTATCCCTATTCGGATACTTCTGCGATCGATATGGACCAGCTCCCCTTTCATTTTGTTCTGCTATACTATTCAGCCTGGGATATCTGCTGGCAGCATTCACATATAAGAGCGGGGCAAAGGATTACTATGGCTACACAATAGAGCGGGGTTGGCCTTTGTGGGTTATGGTGACAGCATTTGTTATCATTGGCATGGCGACTACGTTGATGTATCTTAGCGCTGTTACGACATGTGCGAAGAATTTCGGAAAAGGAAAGCATAAGGGACTGGCGTTGGCAAGCCCAATTGCTGCCTTCGGGCTCAGCGGGATGTGGCAGAGTCAGGTTGGCAGTCGGATATTATACGAAAGACGGCATAATGGAGAGAGGGGTGATGTGGATGTTTTCAAGTTCTTTCTATTTCTGGCATTCACACTGCTGGCGGTGGGCTTGCTTGGGACGTTCCTACTGAAGATTGTGGACGAGGACGAATTGATCGATGAGGCGGTTGAGGAGCTTGAGAGGAGCGGTCTCTTGGAGGACAGCGAGTTCTTCCGAGGTGGCAGAGGCTATGGCGCGATTGATAATGCCCTGGACGACGATGCTCATGAGATCAGGAGTATAGAGGACGACAATAAGGCGCATGAGGAAGAGGAGGCCCGAAAGAAGACTTGGCTGTTGAATGAGGAAACCCGAAGATTCCTCAAAGACCGCACAATGTGGTGGTTGGCAGCGGGTTTCCTCATGGTTTCAGGTATGTTTTCATTTCAAAGAGAAAGATGCCTTCTAACAATTTTGCAGGACCTGGCGAAGCCTTCATCACCAACCTGGGAACCATTATTGGTACCCTATACCCTCCACATCCGGCCATCGCTATTGTGCCTACATCGGCAGCTACGCATGTGTCCATCGTGGCAATCACATCGACAGTTGCTCGTATATTCTTTGGAACCATGACGGATCTCCTGGCCCCTACTCCAGCAGCACACCACTACCAATCAGCCGCCAACTCACTGGCCTCACTACCACCACGTGAAACCCGATTCACAATCTCTCGAATAACATTCCTACTCGTATCTGCATTATTGCTCTCCTTAGGCCAAGTCATCTTGGCTTCAGGCCTCATCCAGAATCATGCCGAACGATTCTGGTTAGTATCAACCCTGATCGGTTCAGGGTACGGAGCCCTGTTCAGTTTGACGCCTCTGATTATAAGCGTCATCTGGGGCGTGGAGAATTTCGGGACGAATTGGGGGATTGTGGCAATGGTGCCTGCAGCGGGAGCGACGATTTGGGGGGTTATTTATTCGAATGTTTATCAGTGGGCGGCTAACAAGGGATCTTCTTTCAGCGATATGGATGAAGATGTTTTGTGTTATGGCAAGCAATGTTATGCCCCGACGTTTTGGCTGATGGCTGTGTCCGTGTGGATCGGATGCGGTCTTTGGGTTTGGGTAAGTCGACTTCTCCTCAGCCATATTTCCTCTTCTGGCGCTGTTCATGAGCTCTATGAAAGCAACTCCTCAAACCCCCCATTTTTTTACGAAAGAGGAATACTGACTCGTAATAGGCTTGGAAGGGCCCTCATGGTTGGTCCAGACGTGGTGTTGCTGTTTAGATGCAGCGGGATAATGCAACCTCGTCGAATAAGCGGCTATTCCCTAATACTTTACGATGTGCATATTTAGCTTCCAAGTGGTAAGCAGGGGTCAGGGCGAGTTGCGAAGCGCAAGGACGACCAGATCAGACTTCTCCGGTAGTTCACAAGCGTACTTCAGTATTTCGGCTTTATTCGTGATCACCAATGCAAGAATGGTGGTCATGGTCCGAGTCAGCTCGAAGCGAGAAGTCCTCGAATTCAATCCCTCATCGATCAGCGAAGCCGGCTACGGACTTCCTCTAGCTGCGGCCGCAACAGGAAGGCATGATTTGTATCGACACTATACAAACTCGGAAGTATTCTAAAAATCTCTTCTTCGTCTAATTCGTGTTCCTCCTTAATAATCATAAAGCGTCTTGGCATATGCGACGTGGAAGGATGATACCAAGATCGTATCTTTTTTCGTCCTCCCGTCCCGTATTGCTGACCGGGGTTTGGGATTCGTGGTTGAGGCTTGATGCTTCGTTGTGACAAGCTTTGGGTATATATGAGCCTCCTGATCAGGTCAAAGTTACACAGCATCACGATCAACAGCACGAAAATCCATATCATTACCTCATTCTCAATCTCAATCCCAAGATTCAAGATGCAGTTCATTACGAGTCTAATGTCTCTGGCCTCAATCGCCACCCTCATCTCAGCCGCTCCCAACGTTGTTCGCCAGACAGCTGGCGATAT